TTAGTGTGTTGAAATTGAACAGCCACACACTAGAACTGGGCAATTAATCGGTTTTTATAAATTAGTAATTGGAATGTTTTTCTAAATATGATGAAAGCAAATATAAAAAAAATTACAATGAAACTTGTTCATGAATTAAACTAGACTGATACCAATAAGGTGAAAATGAATTTAAGCCAAAATGATTCATTTGTGTCAGGCTTATGTTGTTCTGCATTTTCTACCAAGGCAAGAAAACATATTTAATTTAAGCAATAATGGCTGCTTTAATAAAAGTGTTCAACGAAGACTAATTTTGGCTGAATAATTTAAAACCCCAGCTCAGTGGAGTTCCTGCTCACTGATGATTTGTTTTGTCTCCCGTCGACAGACTGGAGAGGGCTGGAGCTCAGAGACGACCGGAGACTGGGGCACCGAGAGCTGGGAGTCAGTCGAGGGAGGCCAGAGTGAGTCCTTCAACTCAAACCTAATCTTTTTACTCCACATGTCCTCAAAATGTTCTGTTCTTTCCTTCTTTGTGATTCAGGATGTTTTGCTTCTACAATGTAACTCTTTGGTTCGTCAGCCTCAGATCTAGAGTCACGTTTCCACTAAAATAAATACACATTTTCAGAAAGGTTGCTTAACATTTCAGGATATCAGACAGAATTAAGATCTTTTTTACTCTGTTGTCTGATTAAGTCAGAAACCTGAACTTGGTTTTGTGGAACCAGGTAAAAATATTTCTAGTTTGTTTTTTGTTTTTTTTGTTCGTTTGTTTTTTTGCAGGCGTCTCATCTCAGGTTTTCAAGGTTTAAGATAAAAGCAGCTCAGTTTAGCCTGGCAGTAATAAAATGTCTTATAAAACAAACTTTGAACATTTTCATGTCTTTGTCACAAGATATAACACAATGTAATGAGATTTTAAGTGATAAAGTAGATTATAATTGTGAAGGTTAATGATGCATGACACAATTTTCACTGTGTTTTAGAAATAAAAGGCTGAAAAATGGGGCTCACATTTGGGTTTTGTTTTTAGAACCAACAAAAATAACTCAAACATTTCTAAAATAATGCAGTAGTTTCTTTTTTTGTGATGTTTTTAAGAGCAACCTTCAACCTCTATTGAATCCATATGTACCTTCAGATCATTGTGTGCCAATGTTACAGTAAAACTATAGATCTTTAAATAAACATTAGTGTGACTACTAATGAAGTCATTATCTCAATCTGCTTCTTGTACATCTGTAACACCGAATCAGTTATAATTAAAAGCACAGATTTAATATCTAACAGATCCGAGTCATAATTTTCCACATTGACTTCATATTAAATGGCCAGAAATGAAAACATTCGTATGACATTCGTCTGCTTTTCGTCGCCCAGATCTCAGCAAGGCGGAGCTGTCGAAGAAGAAACGAGAGGAAAGGAGGAAAGAGCTGGAGGCCAAGCGGGCGGAACGTAAAGCCGCCAAAGGTCCCCTGAAACTCGGAGCACGCAAGCTGGACTGATTCTGGTCGAACAGGAGGGCTGGCACACGGAGACCGGAGCCCAGCAGTGGACAGAGTTTCCACTAGCAGCCAGTAAAGAAAACTGTGAACAGTTCCTTTAACAGAGAAGGCTTGGATGCTGAAAAGAAGGAGGATTTTCTGTCTTTTCTCTTTAAAAGACTGATGAAAGTGAAGGTAAAGACAGAAATGCGGTGGGAACTCCAAAGAGACTTAAAGCAGGATGCATTAACAAAATGAATCATAAAGTTGCTGTTGTACAGTAAATGTATATACCCTGTGCATCATGTGTTAAATTACTTTTTTTTTTTTTAAGAGAGATACGTATAACATGCAGAACATCCTGTGACGTTTCACTGAATGTCTTTCAGTGCGTTCTGTATTCACACACATGGATATGACTGTTTTTAGTCCATCTGTTCCAGATTGTAGACTGAAAATCAGTCCATGCATGCACCTGTGTGGCCTAACAACAATCTCCATTGCAGTAGATTACATTTGTGTCTTCACTTTGCACATATAGCACTGTATTTACTCTGAGAGAGCGGGCACAGATGACTGGCTGCAGGCATGTCGGTGAAGCCTTTCTTGGACCGATAATGAATCAGCTTGAGCAAACAGAAAAGCAGAAAGATTTTAATTTATAGTAGAAACTGTTTACAATTTTCCTCGTCTGATGGAGGATTTAAGATTCCAGCAGGGGGCGCTGCAGACACAAAAGGAAAGGGCATCCGTAGTAGTTTGGTGAGGGTGAAATGTACATGTTTGTGCCTTGTTGTTTGGCTGCAGATCTACTCTGATAAACTTCCAAAACCGAAATCTTCACCATCAAACACTTTGGCTCCTAAACGTCTGAACTTTAGCGCATTCTCTTTTTAACTCATACTTTTATTGTAGCCTTTTATCTTCTGTTTCTGTTGGGGTTTGTACTGATTAAAAATCCTTGAAGCCAGGGACAGAGTCAACTGCAAGGCGCTAATCTGTAAGAAGCTGTGTGGTTTTGGTCTGAAGAGGGTCACCGGTCAAATCATGGTGCATGTGTGCTATTCCAAAATAAAAACATATTTAAAAGTTATACAATTTGGTTTATGTATTTTTTACATAGTCAGACTTTAATTTGTCTAAGTGGTTTTAGTGTTTTGTCAGACTAAACAGTTCTCTGACTTACAGTACAGTGGAAAAGTAACAACAGTTTCGTGAAGAAGAATCAGTCAGTTTTTAAAATTCCTTATGAATAACTATCTGAAAAGTGTGGTGTGCATTTTGTTATTGCGCAATAGCCAGCCCCGCCCTAATCCTCACAACTCCCATGGACTGACTACTGACCAGCTCTCTGTCTAACGGGTCCAGAAAATCTCTAAAACCCCTGAGTCTGACTCTAAACAGGTTTAGTGTCTAAGAACAAGCTCCAAAGTCATTGTCTGACCAAACTAAAGAATGTCTGAAGCCACCACGTGTCTAGAGCCATGCGCATGAATTTTAATTTGAATGACCACAAATCTCAATAGAAGTGCATCTTTATTAAGCAGGGATAATGACAACAGGTTAATTATCAATGATTATAAGTCAAAAATAAAAGTTTAGAATGATCAAAATCACTTCAATCTTTCCTAACCTCTTTCCCTACACTGCGTCACTGAGCGAGGCTTTGGGAAGCAGTTCAACTCACACCCAGGTGTTGGATGATCTTGGCAACAGGAAGCTTTGATGTCCTTGGTCAGAGTCTTGTCTGTACGGCAAAATCCTTTTTGAATAGAAACAAAGTAGAACTGGTTGTTGTCCTCCAGACACTCAGATCTTTGTCACCCCCATGACCTTTGTCCATCTTCCAAGTCTGTTGCAACAGCTTTGAGATCTTTGGGCTGAGCCAGGAGCAGAGGTCGAACCAGGAATGAGGGCCGATGAGTCTTGTCCCACTGGCAGTGCAGTCTTTGCTTCTCCGTGGTTCCAGGGCGCGGTCCTCTGCTGGTCTTCTTTCTGCGTTAAGTTGGCTTGACTTCACACTGGAGACAAAAAACCCCTAGTTCCCCTTTTCAGGGGCATTTTATACCTTTTTTCTACATAAGTGTATTGCAGAAAGGCCATGTGACAACTCTCAATTACTCAAAATGTTTAGACTTCATTCTTTAAAACTTTTATGCTCTGAAATAAGGAACAATCTCAACTATTTTTATACCTCTGCAGGTTGGGAGCTTACTTCCTCTGTTCAGTAAACCTGCTCTTCCTGTGTTTATGACTCTCCCCATGTCTATGATTTTTTTTATGAGTAGAAAGAAGTAGAATTAAAGCAAAGTTAGGAGACAAAAACACACACAACCAGACTGATTTTATTAAAGTTTGACTCTATTTTTGGGTCTTGATGGGATGATCTAGGGTTTTCTTGACCATTTGCATTTAACCACCCTGAGTGAATACATTGTGGAACCACCATTTACACCTACCAGTTTTTTGGTTTATGATTCCAGGAGTGACAATCCCACAGGATGATACTACCACCATCATGTTTCAGCATGGAGAAACGTGATCTATGAAGATTTCCTTTAGCTTGTCAATGAGATGAACGACAGGCCACAGGAAACAAAATGCTGCTTAGATCTGGGTCTAAGGAAATTTTCTGTGAAGCCTAAAGGTGGGTTAAAAAAAACTATACAGGTTTACCTTAAGACTGGAAAGTAACAGAAACATTATGGTGTTTTACTTGGTCACAGAAAAAAAACATGACAGCACTTATGGCAAGACTTGATCAAGATAAAATGTAAACCTTTCCATTAGTGTCATTTAAAAATCATCCTAAATGATACATTAGTCATAATGTAAAAAAGAGGCTGTTTTAGAGAAGATAAGCAAAGTCATGTATTTAAAATGTATTTGAAACTTCTTGTTTCTATGATATCTTTATTTCTTGAAGGATTTTAAAAATCAACTTCCCACTTCAATAGATTATATTTACTGTGAAATTTCTACAGGGTTATAAAATCTGCTTATAAAGTGACTTTCAGGGCTGCGTAGAGTTTTTTAAACACTTTCAAACAAAACCTGACAGGATAGCTTTACCTTAATCTTTCCCCAGTAACACTTATTGACAAAAAAAATGGTCACCAACATTCTCACATGTTTTTGTTTATTAACAACAAACAAGTATGTACCTGAAGGACAAAAAAATAAAACATGTCTATGAACAATTAGAAATTAATTTCATTTGAAAGTTATGCATTCTAAATACATGTATTTATTACTTCATAAGGCATTTTTTAGCAATAAAATTTTTCATTTTGATTTTCAAATTGTTACACTTTGATTGCAGTCATAAATATCTTCTGTGTTTACAAAAAAGTTAATTTATTGTTGAAAATATTGTCCTATGAACTTCATATATTAAACATTTGACCATTTTTTCTTTCAGCACCTGTTCAAGTAAAAATATTAATTGTTGTTTTTGTGCTTTCTGTAGAAATTTTAGACCCTGAAATAGAGGGAAATGATCAAATCATAAACCTTAAAACTCAGCTGATGGATTGTTAAAGACGAGTTGGAAGTGAGCCAGTTCCATTTAATGCCAGGCAGTGATATCTGTGATCAGTAGAGGCAAGTGGCCGTTAGGCTTCGCTGGTGATGAGTTATTCAAAGCTGCTGCTGTGGTTCCAGTCACTGGGTGTTTTTCTTTTCCTTTTTGCTGCCTCCAAACAGAGCGCTGGCCAGAGCGAAGACACCAAGACCCACGAATGCAGCCGCACCAGCCACCACTGCAGCTTCACCTGCCTTCTGCACCTGCAGCAGAGGAATATTCAACTTTAGTTACTTAAAAAAAAAAAATGAAGCTGAATTTAAACTAAAGCAGCGACTCAATCCACAGACAGACTGGTTTATTCATATCTGGTTAAGATTATCTTTTGAATTTTTTTATGTAGCCACAGTCTGACTATTTTAGTTTTCATTTTGTTCTTGCTACTGTCTCCATTCTGCCCTGGTGCTCCTGATGTTGTTTTAGATTAGAAATAATGTGTAACAGTGATCGAAGTAAACATGTTTTAAGGTTTTAAACCACATATCTACAAGACAATAAATGATCTGCAAAAAAACAGAAGTCTTTTTTTATTAGATTTACACAGAGAGGCTGTTATCAGCAGTGTCCAGTTGTATGCAGTTCAGCTCCTCCTAAGTTAAAGTTATCACAATCTTTTTGCCACAAGAAAGGTACTAAACTACTTTTTCTTTTACATTAAATGTAGTTACACCTTTGTTCATCTTCTGTATTAATCAATGGTTTAGAACTTTACACTGCGACGCTGAGATATTTGTGCCAAGAGCAGCTTGTGTCTGAAAATATAGGACAGATCTTAAAATAAAGCCACTGTTAGGAAGAGAAGGATGGAGCTGTGTGAGTCACATCAGAGAGGAGCTGTAAATTAAAGATCATGTATGTTATCTTATGCTAATGTCAGAATCATAAAAGTCCTAAATATCCCACAGCTGAGCTTCCTGTTAGTTTTCAAAAAGGAGAAGTAATTTTAATGTGTAAATCATATATGGGTAATGAAAATGCATCAAGTTTGAAATTTGGTGTTAGTTCAACATTTCCTGACTTCCTCACTATAAAAAAAAACAACTCTACTTGAACTCCTATTCAAGCTGCAGACTTAATAGTTTTGCGTTGAGGGGCCGTTGTGTTATGCATTAAGGTCAGAGTTCAGTGTTCCTGAAGTATTGTCAACATTTTTCACAATATTAAAGACTATGCAGAATTGACATTTCGGACATTTTTGTATTTATAAAAGAACTCAACTGCTTCTGAAAACAAACCAAGCCCTTAAAAAAAAAAAAAAAGCACCCAGACGGTTTTTGGAAACAGGTTAATATTTTTTGGTGTCTGGAAAATGAGCAGTAACAAAAACCTCCCAATTGTTCAGTGAATCATAAGGTCTTGCGCCGCTACCCTACCTAGCAACCCTAACCCTGACCTAGTAATCCCAGTCTGAGCTCCAGCACGTTTATAATGCCATTATACAGCAGCTTTAGTAAGCTGCTGTATAATGGCTGCAGGAAAAGACAAGTGTTTTGTTGCCTTATTATCCAGAAACCACTTGCTGCATTTTTGTTGTGCAGGAAGCCCTACTTCTGTTTTTCACAGCTGTACTATTATATAATTGTGATGTTTGCAGCCATTTTCACGAGGGGTCTTGGCCAGGAGCAGCTTATTTGGATTTAAAGTGACAAGATGCCCTAAAAAAAGCTCAAAGTGAAACGATCTCAGAATAGGCAGAACTGACCAGAATAAAATCCCCTGAGCGAGTTTGTGCAGAAAACGTCATGAACCTATTTTGTGTAGCACATAGACCTATTCCTATATGCATGTGATCTTTTACATAAAACCTGAGCTGCCTACCTGTCGGGACTCTGCTTTCCCGTAGCGCAGCTCGTTGACAAAGTGTTCGCAGTTTCCCCTGAAGATGCAGTACGGCAGCTCCTGACCAACCATAATACAGGCCTCACGAACAATAACATGAGGCGGGCGAGGCCTGTACTTCTGGTCCAGACCGTTGTTTATCAGCCACTTGTCTGTTCCCACCACGTCCCAGAGCTCGTCCTTCTTGACGATGGCCTTCTCGGCCAGGACGGACATTATGCTGCTGGAGCCTGCAGCAGGAACTTCAGCTGATAAAACAAACAGGAAATCATCATGAGGTCGCGCTGACCTTGATTTTAAACTTTGGTAAGCTTACTATTGGTGTACTGTCTCTGGTGATACAAAAACAGATACATTTTGGCACAATCTGCAGAGTAAATCTACTTGTTTTTACTGTTGTGTAGAGGATTACAATGGACTTGGATGAAGTTGCTGGAAGCTCCCTATTCAGTTCAGTGCTAGTTTACAATCTGCGTTAAGTCAAGTTAATTCAGACAGAAATATATAATTAAGTCAACTGATGGATTCAGTCAAAGTTACACTGTAACACAATCCAATGCAATTTGTTGTACAAACTGGTAAAAGGTTATAGTCAGACTGAAAAAAGAGAGAAAATGGCACAGGAGGCGAGGGAGAGTACACAAACAGGGGAACCAAGAAATGTATCTAACACTAACAAATAACTAGATATAAGGAACATAACAAAACTAAAGAAAGAACTGGACCAAAGGAAAACTGAAACAGGCTGATCAAATCAAAATAAGAACTGTTAACAAATCAGAATAAGAGCCCAAGTCAAACAACACAAGACAGTAGCATCTCCTTTATAACCTGAAAGTGTTCAAATGTGTTCAAATGACTTAAATTTGTCAGTGATATCAACCCAAACTTAACCATGTTTCAGATCCCATTGAGATTTCCTCATTGTTCTTCTCAGCAATCAGGCTAATTGCTAGTAACAACAGAAGCTAACAAGGTAAATCTCTGCATTTTGTTCTTTAAATACTTTAGCAACATGCTCACTACAGTACAGTAGGTTTTATACTACGACTGATACAAATCAACAGAGGTGCTTCCAATAACAGTTTTCTTTATTTTCGTTTTCACTAAATTCTATGCACAAGGCAACTATATTGGTTTTTTAAGTTGGTGTTAGTGAGAAAACTTTAGCTTTCCTAGTTTAAATGGTCACTTCTATTGATATTCTGATTAAATTTCAGGTTTTACATTTCAACTTTTAGGTACAAATAGAAGAGCGCTGCTGAATAAGACCAGTTTTCTGTATTATTTTCTGCTTCTGCTGACTTGACACAAACTAAGAAAAGCCTGAGTTTGTTCTAAAATACCTGCACAGAAAGTGTAAAACTCTGAGAATCTCTGTTTATTTTCAAACACAGCAATCTTTAAAACTGACAGTACATTTATTTCGGATTTTAAAAAGTTATATGAATCTCTACTGCAGTCTGAAAAAGCACACAGTCAGTGACGCTGTGGGCTGTCTTTAGCTGCATTTTTTCCAATCTGTCATTTGAAACCAGTTCTGTGTGGGATTCACTCACAGGGTGGTGCCAAGTGAACGACGAAGCCCTCGCCCACATAGACAGCCCAGTGCTGGTAGGAGCCACGGTCGATCTCTATCAGGTCCCCTGGCTCTGGTTTCTCATCATACTGGGATCAGAAGACAGACAGAAACAAGTGGAACATTGCAACAGATTTTGTGCGCAACATTTGACCTCATTTCACTGCAAAACAAGAGATGGCTGTAACCAACACAAGACTTTTAGATTCAACTAAACATATTCAGTCAAACTACATACACATAACACTTTGTTTTTCTACTATTCACAACAATCTAACAATTGTGAATAGTAAAAAAAACAAGAATAACTTAGTAGTCTAAGTTATTCTTGTCCAAACTTAGACCACATATTTTCTAGTGGTGGTCACACATAATAACAAGCTTCTATTTAAATACAGCCTTCTCACCAGTGTTGGAGCCATGTCAGGACTTTTCTTCAAATGCTTTCACTTTCTGATTAAACACCTGCGGAGACAAAATAAGCTTTAACACGAATTCTTACAGCAGCTCAAAGCATAAGATTTAAAAGATTGAGTCTAATGTAACTGTTAAAACCATCGTATTGAAAGCATGAGCCTCGGTGATTTACTTTTAAAAGAATAAAAATGCAATTAATTAGTGTTATTAATAATAACATGCTTATTTCCCCAGATGAGTCTTCTTTAGAATATTACATATTTACTACTACTAATTTGATGCAAACACAAATTTATTTGATTCATTTAAAATAGAACAGAATAGAGTGGTGACATTATGAACAGCGTTATTTAGCGCATTATTAACGTGTAACGTCCCAATTTTAACGACTTACCAAACAAAATGAGTCGTGGCAGCACAAAATGCTAATCTTTAAACGCGTATTGACCTGAACCGGTCTGTGTTTACATCATCCTAGCCTCCACGAACCGCTGCGCTGATCCCAGATCAGCTCTGAAACGCCGCAGCATCACACCAACGGCACACGGTTACCAGAACAGGCCGGTTCCGACCCATTTTAAGGGGTTATAATGCTGCCCTTACCTCAGGCGACGGGGTCCGGTTGTTCTGTGAAGTGCCAGGCGCCACCAGTGACGCCGAAGTTAAAGCTCAGCTGCTGGAGGCTCAGCTGCCCGCCACTGACACGTGACCTCAACAAAAAATAAAAAAAACACGTCACCGAGCGAGCAAACGTCACGATGGACGCACGTTTCTTCATTTCAGATGCGAATATTCTTAAATGTTGCCGATTTTGATTTAAATGGTAATAACCGTTTATGTTACGGTTTTATAACAATCCAGTCTTCCTAAAAACGGATGTATAAATGAATAAATAAATAAATAAATAAATAAATAAATAAATAAATAAATAAATAAATAAATAAATAAATAAATAAATAAATAACCAATGCAGCACCTTTAAATTCTTTCATACTTTTAGACTTTATTCCTCTTTTTATTAATCTTGTTAAAAGCTTTTTAAATGTATTCTGTTGGTAATTTACGGCGTAAACTAACGCAAAGAAGTACATCAAGCTCGTCAAGAAATGTTTGAAAACGTGGCATTCATTTGGTATTTAGGACTCCTGCGTCAATTCTTTATAGAGCCACATTTCACTGTAATTACAGCTTGAAAGGCTTTTAAGGAGTGTCTGTTCCAGCTGCGTACACTGAAAGCTCTGCCTATTATTTTTTGCAAAATAATTTATGCGCAGGAAGTTTGGACAGGATAGTGACTGTAAGCACCAAATATCAAGTACTGACAGATTCCTCAACTCCAATCTCAAGCTCTTTGCAGCTTCTAATATTTAATTTCCGTTTGGGATCACTTTAGTGTTTTTGAATTTGAATTAATAGCTTTTGTTCACAGATTACCCGGTACATGGCTCCATCCATCTTGGTTTCACATTGTTTCACATTTCCTTGTGTTTCCCCAGACATGACTTCAGGCAAACTAACTGAGACTTCTAATGGGTTTCTTCTTGGCACTTTTCCACAGAAGCCAAATGTGTAAAATGCGTTAAATAGTTTATTTGTCAACAAACTCTGTAACATATACTATTTGTAGTTTTGTGGTATATTTAAAGTTTGGAATATTGTTTCAAAACTTGACTCTGTTTTAAACTGAGAGTTATTATTCATTCAATTTTTTGGTTTCACTCTCAACAATATAAACAAACTTGTTTGTTGATTTTTTATAATTGCTCTGTTTATGCCCTTTCTTTCCTTTTGTCCAGTATAAATGAATAAATAAATACATTTTAATAATTTGGTTGACATGAATTTAGAAATTTTATGTTTCCATCAGTGTTCACACATATAAACACGTTTTGCTTCCTATCATTGTTTTAAATTAAAATCAACATGTAATAAAAACATCTTTCAGCATCCTGAAAAGTTCTGGTCTTTTGATGACTTTGGTCAAAGGTGCCCAATAAAAGGGCGTGTGTGTACATTATATTGTTTGCATATTATATTGTAATATAATTACTAATCTTTATGGGTGTTTTGAAACACGCAGAAAGATTGTATCTTGGAGCATAAAATTTGATCATAGTTTGAGATTAAAAAAAGAAGGATGTTGATGCAATAGACCTTTACTGTATATTAATAACCAAACAGTGTGCTAACTTTGATTGACCAGAGATAACCAGGATGATGAAATCATTTATCAATCATTTAGTCAAAGTTGCACAGATGGGGAAGACGTTGATCTGGTTTTTACACAAAGAAATGTTCATTTTAAATGAACAGACTCAAGGTAAAACCTCTTCCTTTATCTCTGATCAATACATTCAAACGAAATATTGTCTTTCTTTAGATATTACTGTAGTTATTGATGTCTGGCCTGAGTAAATATCCAGCTTGGTAAGAGGACTCTGCCCTCTGTCCTCATCTCTCATGACACTTCATCACACATCTTACATGTGATGAAACGCTGGGATTCTAAGAAAGAAAATATTGGTTTTTGGACTGTGCTGGTTAGATTTCTTTTAGTTTCTTTAAGTCTCTGGATTTATTAAGTTGTCATACATAGAAAGACGACCGGTCACCAGAGCACCACATGCCTGATGGACACAATCATGTGCTGTCAAACTCATGAGGAACCATGAAGAAACTTTGCTTTTGTGGGTGAGAACCACAACACTGCACGCTCAGTCAGACAGCTGCAAAACTTACACCTGCTGAGAGTCATGACTGTCACAATTTAAAATCTTAGATTCTACTTGATGCACCTATTTCACATTTTTATACGACAATTGTTTGGATTTTAAAGTGAATGAAAAGTTGAAGTGATATTTCTACTTTTTTACCACATATTGCTAGATGAAGTAAGCTCTGTGATCAAATGTAATCACTGCATATTCATCTAGTAGTAACTAATTACATTTACTTGAGTAACTTTTTGGAAGACATGTACTTTTAGGAGTAGTCTTACTACATCATACTTTATATTTTATCTTAATATTATTATGAGATGTCACTACTCTTAGTTGGGAAAAATGTCTTAATACTCTATTCACTGTGAGTAACTTCACTGAATAAAGAACAAACATGTTTCAACCAAAAATACATGAGACACAGAGACAAACCTGCAGTTCGTGTTAAAGTGAGACCTCTTGTTCGCACACAGTCTTTTATTTTTTTATATTATTTTCCAACTATGAAGCCTGTTGTGAAATTTGTGGGTGTGTTTCTTCTGATTTAATTTGTTTGTTATTTATTTGTATCCTTCTTTTTTCATTTTTGTCTTTAACATAACTTTGGACATAACTTATTTTTGTCTGATGAAACAATTGTAAAATATTGAGTCAGACATTATGATCATTTCATATCCTTTTGACCAATTTTTTTCACTCTTACTTGAGTGATGTCTTAGAGATCTACTTTTAATTTTACCTGAGTAAAAATGTATTGAGGTATTGCTTCTATACATGAGTAAAACTTTTGGTTACTCTACCCACCTCTGTTCATCCATCCATTCATTTTCTTCCACTTATCAAAGATTTGGCCACAGGATGAAAACAGACATCCCTCTTTTCAGCAACACTATCTGGCTCCTTGAGAGTAATTTTAAAGTTTTCCCAGTATAGGAAATAGTTATAGTTTCTCCCCAGATTAACTGGTCTGTTCTGGGCCCTCTTCCTCCCAGTTGGATGCATTCAGGAAGCATTTTCATCAGTTTGTCACATTATTTTTGCCCCACCCTTCATTTCCCCCTGCAGGGCATAACTTCTGCAGAGGTTACTGATCTTATCTGAAATTAAGACCTTGTCTTAAAAATGCTTTGTAGAGAAAGAAATAAGAAAAGAAAGTTAAAATAGCCATGGACGATAAAGGAAACACATAAGGAAAAGGAAAGACACATAAGGAAAGACATTAACAGCTCACATATCACCCAGAGGAAAGTTTCTTTGGAATAAACATATAAAATGGAGGAAGGCATGTATGATTTAAAAGGTCACATAATTTCAAAATGTTGCACAAAATTACCCTCATAACAATAAACTTGGATTAACTTGGTAAGGATTTGGATGAAAATTGTAGATTTTACTAATTACTGTAATCTCTTCTGGGTTTTGGGCAGGCATGGAGAAAATTGTCAATGATAAAATTAAACACTATCAAAACCATACCTATAAATCTTATAGTAGTTTGTACTGATGTACTGATAAAATTTTGTTCTTCATAATTAATCTAGTGCTCCTGTTAGGGAACTTCAACATGAGGTAAAATTCTCCATATTTATCCCAAACTTATACGTTTTCTCAATAGACGTCCATTCATATGTAAATACTTTAAAGTAAACTACAAATAAGAAAGTAGAAGTCGCATGTTCAAAGTTTATATTTGATCGACCCTGAGTGACAAGAATCACAATGCGGCTTAGTTATAGCACAATTTTAAAAAATATGATGTCTGTAAAAAAGATTAAAAAAAAAATCGAAAAGGAAAAGAAACGAAAGTTAAAACCCATAGTGGCCGCTAGGTGTCGCCAATGAGAACACTTGGTGGATATCATGCTTCCGGTTTTAACGGCAAAAGAAGTTCCAACTTCCGGCTGTGGACCGCCCTATGGTTGTATTTGTCCTGAATTTCATCAAACAAACACCCAGAAAGCTCCTGATAAACCCCCCGGTTCGAGGCCCTGAGACCGAGGGACGGGTTAGATGTGCCGGCTTGGTGCTGAAGGAGTCCGCCATGTCTGTGGTTTTTGACGGGAGTCCGCTGAAAGCGATGCAGAGCCCCCACAGCCACACAGCTCCGGCCGCTCTGAGGTAGGAGGAGGAGCCCTCAGCAGGCAGGACAGAGACATGTCCTCTGTCACATCGGAACCAGCTCCAGCAGCAGGGGTCCATTCAGTTCGGGATGATGTATACAGATAGTTTCTGGTATCTGTTTGCTTTGTAGCTGTTCAGCACTCTGTATGCTGTTTATCTCCCAGCCGACAGACACTGTATCTGTCCCAGAAGGGAAATTAATTGCTTATAATTACAGTAGAATAATTTTTACAAATGTAAACAGCACAGATTATGCGAGAAGATAAAAAACAGTACCATTGAGGAAAAAAAAGAGTATAACGAATAAAATGCTCATTTTAGAAACACCGTCTAAAAAAGCTTTAATAATTTGAATGTAAGACATAACAGTTTGTGTCCCTTATTAAAGTATTCATATCTCTGGAGCCTTTTAATATAGTTTTTACATAACCTTGAACTTAAAAGCATTTTATTAAGATTTTTATCTCATATAAAGTAGGGCTGCAACTAACGATTATTTTAGCTATTGATTAATCGGTCAGACAATCGGTTCAAAACACTGACACTATATGCAGATTTTCATTTAAGACTTTTTTGTACAATAATAGAAATACAGAGAAATAAAAATAGAAATAACTTGGTAGCTATTATTTTTTATTACTTGATTAATGAATTGGTAGCATAAGGTGCTTAATAAGATAACTTTTTTGTAGAATTTGAAGCTAAAAACATATTTACAGAGGTTTCTTTTATCGTAGATGCAAAATGTGTGTATTTTTGCTATAGTTTTAGCTTAATTATTGACCTAAGCTTGTTTTTTCAGCAGTTGGCCTTTTTGAGTCTTAATATTCCAGTTAAAATTAATTGATAACTACATTAGTTGATGATTATTTTGATAGTCACGATTCATTTGATTAATCGCTTCAGTCCTAATACCAATGTACTACTT